ATTAAATTTCCAATAGTAGAGATAATAAAAATGCCAAATCCAGCTCTATTCTATTTATAGGACAACATCCTAATGCAAAAGGACAAAAAAGAAAGAAAGAAAGAAAGAAAGAGGGGAGTGGGAAAGAAGGAAGGGAAGCTGCAAATGGAGGGAAGGGAGAAAACATGCCTAGGAAATATTACCAAACAAAGAAACACTGTACTTGTGCTATTAGCAAACAAAATAGACATTACTTTCCCATAGAGTGGGTGATCACATAGTGATCATAGCAATGATTTACCAGTCTTGAACAGGGATGTCCATGATAATAGCCTCCAAATATAGCCTCCAAATATAAAAAGCAAAGTAAAATGAATGACATGAAGGAGAGTAAAAATCCATAAGCCTGGGGAGAGCCTGATATCTAAAATAGAACAACAACAGTTTTGAAGCACAGTTAACACACTTGACCCAATGGATCTATATTAATCCCTTTCCTGAGCTATCAGAGAATGAAACTTGCTTTCAAAAACACGAGGACAGGTGCTAGAAATCAAAGCAAATCTCTGCACAGACTGAAAACCATGTGTTATACAGACTGCAATGTCATTTAATCAGAGATCAATAAAAAAAGATAGTTTCAAAACCCATATATTAGGAAATCTTAAAACGCTATTTAAAAATTTACAGATCAAAAATATGGTAAATATTAGAAAATTATCCCAGCTGAATAATGAAAGCCCTATATAAATTGAAATGCAGACAGAAATTATATATACACATATATATATATAATATGTATATGAATGGAGCTGCAAAAGCTACACATCAAACACAGTATGATAGAAAATTAAAAAAAAGCAGAATAAATCCCAAAAACACAGAAGAAGGATAATAATACAGATAAGAAGCAAATAAATGAAATAGAAAGTCAAAGAAACAATAGAGAAAATCTAACAAGCTAGATGATAGTTCTTTGAAAAGAGAAAAAAAGCAAACATCTCTATTAGTAAGAAGAGGGAGGGAGCAAAGGAAGGAAGAAATGATGCAGGAGGGAGTTAGGGAGGGAGGGAGAGAGACAGAGGGAGAGGGTGGAAGAAAGAGAGAGGAAGAGGGAGATAGAAAGGGAAGGAGAGGGAGGGAGAGTGAAAGAGAAAGAGGGAAAGGGAGGGAGGTGGATGGAGGGGAAAGGAGGGGAAGAGAAAAGGAGGGGGGAAGGAGGGGGTGTTGAGAAGAGGAGCTGTGGGGGGGTATAAGAGAGAAGAGAAGGGAAGGGAGAGAGATGGATTTAAAAGAGGGCAAAATCACAAATACGGCAGCATTTTTAATCAAAAAAGAACACTATTAACAAATGCATGCAATAAACGTGAAGAGTGGTATGAAATAGGCAATTTTCTAAGAAATATAATTACCGAAATTGTTTCAAGAAGAAACAGAAATTCCAAAGAGATAGCTAAGCACTGAAGAAACTAATTCAGTAGTTGAAAATTCACTCACACAGAAAAGCAATCAAAAAACCTATCAGTCGTTCATAGTTTTATGGGTAAATTTTACCAAACCTAAAAGAAGCAGATAATTTAATCTTACACAAAATGTTTAAGATCCGAGTAATTTTGTGACAATAAGATGACCTTAATAGCAAAGCCTAATGACAGTATATGAAAGGGAAAGCATAACCCAATCTTCTTTTTGAGCACAGATGCAAAAGATTCATATGACATGAACAAATGGACCTAGCAAGATAGTTTTTGTTTTTGTTTTTTGTAATCATGACCATGAAAGACCACCCTGGGAAAGAAAGCATGTTTTCACACTAGATAAGCCATCTACCATTGAAGATACTATAGGGGTGCCTGGGTGGCTCAGTTGGTTAAGCATCAGACTTTTGACTTCTGCTCAGGTCATGATTTCACCATTGTGAGATTGAGCCCCATGTTGGAGTCTACCTGGAATTCTCTCTCTCCCTTTCTTTCTTTCCCTGCTTCGCTCATGCTCTCTTTCTCAAAATAAATAACTAAACATAAAACAATATTTATAGTATATACGATATATTTCACAGTTTAATTTTTTAAAACATTTTTATTATTGTAACTCAACATCTTAAAATTATTTTCGTAATGGATGTAGAAAAATGTTTTGATAAAATTAACATCCATTCTTTTTTTTTAAATTTATTTATTTTTGAGAGAGAGAGAAACAGAGTATGAGCAGGGGATGTGGAGAGAGAGAGGGAGACACAGAATCTGCAACAGGCTCCAGGCTCTGAGCTGTCAGCACAGAGCCTGATGCGGGGCTCAAACCCACAAACCATGAGATCATGAGCTGAGCCGAAGTCAGAATCTTAACCGACTGAGCCACCCAGGTGCCCCAACCTCCATTAAAGTTCCAAACAGTAGCAATGAGAGCAACAAACACCCCTGAAGGGGTTTTCTTTAACTTAATAAATGGTTAACTACCAAAAATCTAAAGCAATTCAGGAAATGGATAACCGTTTATGGTTGCATAACATTGCAAACATATTTAATGCTCTTGGACTGTGCACTTAAAAACAGTTACAATGGGGGTGCCTGGCTGGCTCAGTCAGGGGAGCATGGGACTCTTCATCTTAGGCTGGTGAGTTCAATCCCCACATGGCTACAGAGATCACTTAACAAACAAAGAAACTTAAAAAGAAAATCACCGTCAAAATCTCTTTAACAGTTACAGTGGTAAGTTTAATAGTATCAATATTTTACTACAATCTAGAAAACCCAATAGCATACCATATGATATTACTTACATGTGGAATCCAAAAAATAAATCAACAAAACAAAACAAAACTCATAGATGAAGAGAACAGATTGGTGGTTGCCAGAGGGAAAGGGGGTGGAGGGGGATGAAATGGGTGCAGGGAATCGAGAAGTATGAACTTTCAGCACTAAAAGAAGTAAGTCATGAGGATGTAATGTACATCATGGGGAATACACTCAATGACATTGTATTAACTTTGTAAGGTGATATATGGGGGCTAGCTTTATTGTGGTGACTATTTCATAATGTTTACACATGCTGAATCACTTGGTAGTACACCTGAAACTAATATGATATTGTGAGTTATACCTCAATGAAAAAAAAAAAAAAACATAGCAAACACCATAGTTAACATGGAATTATTAGAAGAAATTCCTTTTAATTTTTTTAATGTTTATTTTTATTTTTGACAGAGAGACAGAGCATGAGCAGGGGAGGGGCAGAGAGAGAGGGAGACACAGAATCCGAAGCAGGCTCCAGGCTCTGAGCTGTCGGCACAGAGCCCGACGCGGGGCTCGAACTCACACTGCAAGATCATGACCTGAGCTGAAGCTGGACGCTCAACCGACTGAGCCACCCAGGTGCCCCAAGAAGAAATTCCTTTAATTGAGGAACAAGATACAGTTGTCTACTTTCACTGCTTCTAGTCAACAATCCTAGTTACTTCTAGGCAACAAAACAGTAAGTATGGAGGTTAGAAGGGAACATTTTCACAAATGATGTTAGTGTGTATGAAAAAAAAGTCCAAGAGAAGCCACACACAAACTATTAAATCTAAAAGAGCATTTAGCAAATGGATACAAGATATTCAACATACAGAAATCAGTGATGTTCTCATATTCTAGCAATTACCAATTAGAAAAGGTAGTTTTAAATGTATGCCATTTCTGCTGGAAGGGAAAACTGTAAGCTTCCAAATTATAAATCTAACATAAAATTATAAAACTGTATTAGAAGACCTGTAACTAAGGAGACATACTTAGTTTATAAATGAAAAGTTCCAAGATTATAAAAGATAGCAATTATCTTCAAATTAACCTATAACTCACAGCAATTTTAATCAAAATCATAGCATAATTCATAGAAATTAACAAGCTGATTACAAAATTAATATGAAAGAGTAAAGAGACAAGAATAGCCAAGACAACTTAGATCACTATATGGAAAAGGTATTTGTTCTCTTAAATATCAAGTCATACTATAAGCTATAATAATTAAAGAGATATGGTGTTGGCATCATTACTGACAAATCATAAAACCTAGAAACAGATCTGTGTAGAATTAATCCTATGACACAGGTGCCATAATAAATCAATTAGAAAAAAAAAAAAAGACCATTCAGTAAGTAGTGCCGGTCAACGGGGCAACTATATTGAAAAAGATGAAATTAGACACTGCCTTATGCCACACACACAAATAAATTCCAGAGGGATTCAAGTCCTAAATGTGAAAATCAACACCTTGAAGTGTTCAGAATAAAAATACATGAGAACACCATTATGATAGGAGGGCAGTGACTAATTTCTTAATGCACAAAACACACATCATAGAACAGAAGAATAAATTAGACACGAAAATAAAAGTAAAAGAAAATGTCTATGCATCTAAAGACATTATAAAAAGTGAAGAGTCAGATGAAGGAAAAGGAAAACACACATATAAAGCATACAACTGCAAAGAAATCGTATCCAAAACATATGACACCCCAATCAGTAAGAAAAGATTCACCACCCAATAGACAACTGCCGACAGGAATGAAGGGGTAAGAAACTCAGAGAATCAATAAAACCATTAAAAAAGGCCCAAACTCAGTAGCAATCAGGGAAATGCCTAATAAGCTACCAAATTTCATTCCCCATACATCAGATTCTGGTGAATCCTGAAGATTTCGTGCCTTCAGGAAAGACATCTAAGGATCTTTTTCCAATAGACAGCCGAAATGGACAAATGTCAACTGGGGAAACACCATCAGGACTTTTTCCAACCAATGACAAACCTGACTAAAAATCGTATATATTCTAGGATGCATTCGCAAGCACTCTGAATGCTTCCCAGATTCTAAATGATCTCTCTAACAAAGCCAAATGATGTCTCCTCCAAGCTGGTGGAAACGCTTCCTCACACAAGAGGGCAGCCATGTTTCCATCTCTTGCTGTGATCCTGACCACGCCATTCACACTGGCCCATCTAGGAGAGCTCTACACTGAGCAGAAAGGAGGCGGGAGGCTTACTTAGAGCAGTCTTCACAAGCAATGTTCCCTGAGGTTTCCTTGATGGTGCGCTCAGAGACAAACGCTGGATACTCTGTATCACAAGGTTCCAGGGTCTGCTTCAATTTTTGGGCTGCAGGGATAGGGGGAAAAAGAAAAAGATGAAGAACACAGGCACAGGCTTTATTGTGACTGGCAGCCTACAGTAACTCAGAACACAGTTCCGCTTCTGCTGCGCTGTGATTTTTCTAGGCACAGCATAATGCATTATTTTCTAATTAGTCAAGTGATTTCATCTGCCAAGCAACTCTATAAGCTGTAATTCCTCAAGCAGTGTGTTGGCTTCATCCACTATCATTTATGCATCACTAGAATACTTTCTGGGACAACATCAGTCAACGGGTCTCTGCCTTCAGACGTACTTGAACTTAGCAACAACACATATGTATATCTGAATAAATGTATAAAATACAAGTTACACCATATTATTCAGGGTGAGACAAAGGTCATGATGCAATTGTGTGGTTTTATTACAGAAACAAAATTGAAACATGGAATAGTAAAATACGTAATGTCTTTGAACCACAGCCATGAACCTAATCCTACTATTATGAAGTTCCTTGTCCAGTAATATAGCACTGGATAAGCCTGGTACATAGATGAGCACACAGTAGGCACTTGGTAAAGTCTCCGTGGTTGGTAAAATAATAAACAAGTTATGTCCAGTGGGCACGTTCCAAAACCTCTTTAAGTTTCCTTTTTTTTTTTTTTTCAATGTGCAAATTGGGGATAATATAGTTTCTCTATCAGTGAGTGATGTGAGAAGTACATGAAACAATATATGTTGAGTACTTAGTACAGTACCTGGAACATAATGGGTGCTGAGTAAGTATCAGCGAATGATAATAAATAGTAACAACAGTAATAGTAATAAGCATAACACTAGCATTCTAGTGAAGCCATTGTAACATTAAAATGATAAGGATGCTAGATACTAGAACACAGCAGTTAAGGTGAAGACTCTGAAGTCAGAGGAGTTTGGAGTACAAATGCCTGCTCCAATGCTCCCAGCTAATCCTCTGTATCCTCACCTATAAAATGGAAATGCTGATAGTACAGGTTCTTGTCACTCATTAACATCTTACCAGTAGAATGCTCCAATAACCAATAGTTTGGAAACCAAAAGTTTCCAATAACCAAACTTTGTGCAAAGTTTTTGGCTGATGTCTATACAGAAATATAAACACATATTTATAAATATCTAGAATATATAATTTATGTTTTCAACTCCAAAACTCAGTAAGATTTTAACAAAATGATGTGTTGACAAAGTCTCAAGTTGTATTCCAACGACGGTTGGATGTCAGAAGCACGGGTACATGTTTTGTGGAGTGTCTATGTGGAGGCAGCTGCACTAAGCAAGGCATCAAAGGATTACTAAATGCTAAATGAGCATTTGGTAACCACTAGCTATTTGTTGGGTGACCAGGAAGCCGTATTCCAGGCATGTATATCCTAACGTGATTCTTTTTCTTATATAGGCTTTTCACTGAGCTTTAATTATTTTGAGGAAATTGACTGGGGGCTTGGGGTTGAAGCATAATGCATTGTAATTTTTCTTTTTTTTAAATTTTTTTAAATGTTTATTTATTTTTGAGAGAGACGGGCAGAGAGGCAGAGCGCGAGCAGGAGAGGGGCAGAGAGAGAGGGAGACACAGAATCTGAACCAGGCTCCAGGCTCTGAGCTGTCAGCACAGAGCCCGACACGGGGATCGAATTCACGGACTGTGAGATCATGACCTGAGCCGAAGTCGGATGCTTAACCGACTAAGCCACCCAGGCACCCCGTAATTTTTCTCATCTAAAACAAAACGAAGTAGATTAAATCAGCTTGTTTATGTAAAATATGTAATTTCTAGAAACTGATCACTGATATGAAGAAAAAATGCCCATATAACTCACTGAGTTGTTCTGAGTAATAAACCGACTAAAGCAGGTACAGCTCTCAATCGAGGGATACATGTACACACTTCCACAAATATGCACGCACATACACACACACACACAGCCTTCACGAAATGCTGGCTGCTAGAGAGTGTTCCTATCTACATACCAGGAGTTGGACTAATTACATAGTAACTAAGGGCACAAATCAGGGGTCGTGAATCTTGCCACTGCTGTGTGACATCAGGTGAGTTTAATCTCTGTACCTTAGTGTTCTCATCTGTAAAATGGGAATAAGAACACCAACCTCATGTGGTTGTTTGGGGATCAGATGAATTAATACATGGGAAGTGGCTGGCACAAGGTGAGGCCTATTTAAGTGAACGTGCTGACTGCCACAGGACAGCATGTTATTAGATGGAATCCTCAGAAACTGATGGCCTTTTTGAACCATTGCTTTTTGGTTAGAAAGGGCCGATGGCTACCTTCCCGATGTCTGGCTCCACTGCCAGTACAGCACTGGCAAGTGTCATGCTCCCAAAGGCGTAGGTCCGTCCCCTGTGCCCTGCGGTGCTAGCTGATAGCAAGTGTCATCACGTGCTTGCTGGATAAATGAGTAATTCTCCTCAATGGTGCTTTTCAGGCAATCAGACAAAGGAGATGTAAGCGTCTCAGGCCCGCATGACAAACTGCCTGCCTTCAGGTGGGAAGGCAAGGTCAGTTTAGGTGGCCAGTGCCCAACAGCAACAACACAGAGAGGCACCTGGTGGGAACGTCATTCACTTCATTCACTTCCAAGTTCCCTTTCAGTGCCTCTCTGATTTCCTCAGGGGAACATCTTTGACGGTAGGGAGGTTTCCCCACCTTCCTCTCATTTTCATTTTCTTTCATTTGCTCTCCGCCCCCCCCTTTTTTTTTTTAACCTAGGAAGGCCACACATAAAACACAGAGATATGGCTACACTTTCCTGACGCTTTTTATTTTCACGATTCTTATGTTTACAATTGATTCCTTTGTATAGCAAAGGATAGTGACTTTTGATTTGGGGAAACTTCCTTTTAATGCCTAAATTGTTTGAATTTCAAAAGGTAAGGCCATTAAAACGAAAGAAAGTAAAAAAAAGAAAACAGCACAGATGATAAGAGGCAATAGCACCCATATGCAGATGGCATACGATCACTGAATGATGGTAACGGCCACGTTTATTAAGAAAGTACTCCATGCCAGATGCTGTTCTGCTTTACATGTTTTAATCTATTTAACAGTAAAACATGACAAAAAAAAAAATAAACTATAAGGTAGGAACAATTGTTTTCTCTGTTTCGCAGGTTAGTGAAAGGAGGAGAGAATTGCATAAATCGCCCCAATTCATCCAGTCAATGTGTGAGCGGGTGAGCCAAAATTTGAACTTGGGCTGTCTGCCTCCAGCACACATATTTAACTGCTCTGTGAAGTTTGGCCAATGAAAGAAAGGAAGAAGGTCTGTGGGGCGGGCTGAGATGGGCAGCACACATGATTTAACTAAGCCCAATAATTGCACTATCTCTAATTGTAATTGTCTGGGCCCAGTTACAATGGAATGAGTCCAGCGCTCTCAATGGTGAGGCTCATTTGGCTCTGATCCTTCCTGGAGATGAAATTCTTGTTCCCTTGACAATTGTAGGGCACCCATACTGATGTGGCCACAAACTGTTGAATCCATGTGCAACACAACTACAGACTGGCTGGAAGTTGCTTGATGTGCTTTTGGGAAACGTGTGAATGATCATATAAAACCATGGCCATATTTAATCTAAATAAGATGGTTTACTACAAAGACCTTCCTTTGTCTGGAGTGTTATGGACACCACATATATTTGCCAGTCACTACCATTTATCTACAGAATTTCGAACGAATAGCTAAGGCTGCCAGTAATCTAACGGGTGCTGTTTTAGCAATTAGGCATTTAAAACTCATTAGCTTACAAAGGCAAAGGTAGAAGCAGTCATGAAGCTCAGCTAGACTGATTCCTTATTTTGCAGAAAACCGGGGTTCAGAGAGCGGACATAGCTTGCCTTGAGCCCCACAGAAAGTGACTCACCATGATCATCATTTACTTAAACACCACCAGCAATGGGGCACCTGGGTGGCTCAGTTAAGCGTCCGACTTCAGCTCAGGTCATGATCTTAAGGTTCATGAGTTTGAGCCCCGCGTCGGGCTCTGTGCTGACAGCTCGGAGCCTGGAGCTTGCTTCAGATTCTGTGTCTCCCTCTCTCTCTGTTCCTTCCCCGTTTGTACTCTCTCTCTCTCTCTCAAAAACAAATAAACATTAAAAAATTAAAAAAAAAATCACCACCAGCACGTTCACAGCCAATACTCAGTAAGCACTTGCTACACCCCAAACACCATGCTGGGCCCCTCGTGTGGAATTGGTCCTCACCACCAATGCGGAAGGTCTGGGGCTCTCCTGTTCTACAAAATGAAGAAACTATAGTCCAGAGAAATAAAGTCACACCGCCGTGAGTCAGGGAGCCCAGATCTGCTTCTGCATGGTCACGGCCCGGAGCGTCCCTTCCGTGCTGTCACACCGCTCGACGTCCCATCCGGCCAGGACCGGCTGGCTCCAGCTGGAGCCATGACCTACCACTCACTCACAATGAAGCACCCAATGGAGCATCCACACAATTGAATTTCTTTAATTTTCCCTTAGCAACAAATGTCCCTGATGAGAATAACTGACTTGGGTTCACAGTAATTATGGACAGACAACTGGGAATGAATAGAGTTGCCATTTGAAAAGCTCTCCTCGTCTTTTGTCTCTGTGAATGCACCCCCATTCACACTCGGTGCCAGCAAGCTCCATTCTCTCTGTGCAACTTCGCCAAAATGATACCTTTGTGATAATCAAGCAGAAATGGGCTTCCACAGTCCCCTTCATTAAGGAAATGAAGCAGATAAACAGTGTAATTATGGATTCCATTTTTAGCTAAACAAAGATGTATGTCTCAGCACAGGGTCTTTGTCTAGTGAGGGAGTGGTAAATTTAGAATGAAGAAACCTTGCAAGTCAGTATTTCTGTGAAGCCTGAAACTTTTCTCTCCTTATGCTGGGTCTCACATTTACATTTACATTTGACAAAGATCTCCAGCAGCCCTGAGGACGAGTTCATTCACCCGCTTTGATTCCATTTCTTCATCTATAAAATGGAAAACGTCAGCCACGTCCAGCAGAGGGCTATAGGTCCGGACGAGACAGTTCATGTGCTTCACACGGGGGTTCAAGGAAGGCGGGCTGCCTTGCTCGCTGCCACCTAGCTGAGCCCTTGGTTTAGGTCTGAGCCCTCCGTGACCCAGTAGCTGTCTGACTGAAGGAGCTCAGGAAGGTTTAGTGACAAATTCCAGAGGTCCCCACCGCTCAGGAATGCTGAAGGGGTCTGAAGATCATCTAGTGCCAGGACTCTGGAGATGGAAAAGCACTACACTGTACATGGGCCCACCGCGTGGTGACGATAGAATCATGTGGCAAGGTCTTTCCAATATCTGGGGGAAGGTCTCACGGTGCAGCACAGGGTGACATGACTTGGAAATACCTATGAAAGAACTTGTAGAAAAGCTTCTAAAACAGAAAATGGAGAACTGAGGCATCACATTAGTCCTGTTTGCTAACATTTTGCCCACTGTTGGTCCTGGTACAGGGGAGCAGGGGAGAGGGGGTGTGGAATTTCAGAATGGGAAACTGCATACATTTCTGTAAGCATCATGAGTGCAAAGACTATATCCTCTTCCTTATTCTTCATCCCCTACCCTCTACCTTTCAGTCTACACCGGGGTTTTGCAGCAGTGGCACTGATGATACTCTGAATAGGATGATTCTTTGTTGCCAGGGACTATGCATCGTAGGATGTTCAGCACTATCCCTGGCTTCTACCCACTACATGTCAGCAGTATCCCCGCTCACCCCACTTGTGACAACCAAAAATGCCTCCGAACATTGCAGTGACTCCAGAGAGAAAAAACTCCCCCTCCCCAGGTTGAAAACCAGTGGTCTAAGCAAGGATTACAGTGACTAGCACACAACAGAAATTCTAAAACTGACCGTCAAATCTGAAGGACCAGAACAAGAGCGTGGGCAGGGCCTGTGGCAGCAGGTCACCGGGAAGGGGAGCAGGCTGCGGTCAGAATGGGGGCCATGGTGATGCAGGCTGGCATGAAGAAGTGGGGCATCCTCACGCTCACCGTGGAAGCTCCTTAGAGGAGGTGGGCAGGCACCCGGTTGTGAAGAGGGCGCCAGGAAGCAAACCCCGAAGACGACTGGCCACTGCCCTCAGCACTGAACACACCCCTGAGAGCGAGCCGCGGTCTCAGCCAAAACAGCCGCCATCGCCTCACATGGGAGCACCACCCACCATGTGTGGAGCACTCTGCTGTGTGCCAGGTCTGCCTGTGGGCTTTGTGTGCACCAACCAACCCATCATTGTCTGTGCTGACCTGCCGGGACACCGGAACCCAGAGAGACTGTGCAACCTTCCCAGAACTAAGCAGCTAGCTGGCAGCAGGGGAAGGCTGCCTGATCCCCGACCAGAGCACTTCACCTGGGCAAAACCGCCACGTGCTGGCCTCCCGGAGCCAAGCAGAGGGGACTTGTCCCCGGGAACTGGCGGTGCCGTGAGGGCAGCCCTTTGACCCACTCGTGATCCATTCTCTTGGCCTCTACTGATCTTCCTTCTTCCGTTTCTCTCTTTTAATCTCATTTTACTTTTTTCACTCCTAATAGTAAAATTGTGGAAAAACTAGTGGAATAAGAAGAGTAAACAGAAAAAAAGATAGCAAGTGCCCATTTAGCAGGTCCCTTCCCAGCCCTCATTCTCAAATCTGGTGCAATTTTAAACAAAAGCAGGTTCACGCTATAGGTAACATTTCCTTTGGGGGACATAATAGTCTTCTCTTCCTAATTCATATTTTGTTCTGTGCTTACTGAGTCCCCAGTGGCTGCTCACCCTATTTATTTAACTCCCTATGCCCCCGTTCCCCCCATCATTGGATGCTTGTCTGGGGTACACACTGTTTAGCATATTGTTTATCTTGGTATGTTACTTAATTTCATGAGCAGTTTCGATCTTCTTAAAAAGTTTTCAGAAGCAGAATCTTGGTAAAGGTTCTCTCTGCCTCTCTGTGGATGGGCTGTCATTTATTTTGAAACGTCCTTATTGTTCACCTTTAAAGAGTTACCTGTATTTGCAATCCTCACTTTCTTAGTGATGCTCATCCTGTCATACCATCCTTTGTTCCCACCCCAGTTTATTTCCTTAGGCTAGATCTCTAGAGGCGGGGTTATGGACATGCAAAGCAGGTACCAACCCAACAAGAAGGGGCAAGTATGGAGCCCACACACTGAGGGTCACCAGGACAGCGTGTGCATGCGTGTGTGAGAAAACAGGGCACAAAGGTGTTGTTCCACTGGGCTGTCAGCTTCTGAGAACAGGGTCAACCCCAAACACGTTTGGGTCAGGTGCACTGTAATCAGACCCCATCGAGTGCAGCCGGACGCGTGCACCTCTCTGCAGAGGCTGCCCCATGTCATCCTCTAACAAGAAACTAGGGAGGTCCTGGATTTAGGACACATGGTCCTATTTGTAAGTCACAAAGCTACGATGACAGTGGCTAGACCGGTCATACCCGGCAAAGGAAAGATTTGCCAGGGTATTCGGTAAGTAACCCGTGGCATTGAGCACCTACTATGTACTGAGCACCAGTTAGGTGCTAAGGGATACTGATGCCATCCAGAAACTCTGGTTTAGTGTGAAACAAATTGGGACAAGAATGGTGCAGAAACGCTGGGGAAGTGTGTGAGCTGACCGGGATGAAAACACGAAGGAAATGCTACTAACTCTTCCTGGAAGAACTGAGAGAATCCTCACCAACTGGTGTCTCAAGGGATGGGGGAGGAGATGTCAGCACCTGGGGAAGGCTGCTGCATTACTAATCTACCTCTGTGAAAAAGACAGATCATTAAAATAATAATAATAATAATGATAATAATGGCAGTAGTCTAGCCTAATTCTGGTTCCTTGCATCCCAGGGAGGAAAACAGACATGAATGAACGCACACAGGAAAGGAAGAGCAGAGCATATGTGGGAAACAGCAAGTGCCTGAGCAGGTGGGGCGGATGGCTGTGAGACGGCCGTGAGACGGCCCTCATTAAAGGGCACGGGTTTTGTAGGGCCCGGGGACTTGACTGTTTATCCCTGTGGTCAACACTGTCTGCACTGTCTTCATAGTTAATTACAGCTACCTGTTTTGAGTCACCACGCTCAGCAGATAGCATGATTTATCATTAAGCACACACACATACGTGATAGGAGATAAATGTTATTTATTATGTCTCCCATTTTGCTTAATGTAGGGAAACTGAGTCTTGAAGACATCAGCTAACTTGCCAAAGGCTAACCTCAGAACCACAACTCAAATCCACCTTGCTCTAATTCCACAACTCACACCTCTACAAGAGTTTCCATGAATTATCAAATCGCTGAAGGCTTTTGAGTGGGGAGACTATGACTAGATTTGTATTTTACGAGGCTAATTGTAGCAAACAAACAAAAAACTAGAGTGGTTATCCATTCGCTGAGACTGAAAAAGGCAATGTGTCTCCCTTAGATTCTGAGCACTGCTCGCAAGCTTTTTGAAGAATTCACACGTGCAGTGTTTGATTGCAAAGTCTTAGTGAAGGAAACAGGTCAGAGTGCACATTCAACACGGGAGGAATGAAACCGTGGCATTTTTGTCAGACTAGATGGTGCTGCGGTCAGCACAAAGGGTGCCTTTCGCTGACCGAGCTGAAAAATCATCACTGGGTCCCGGGTGGTTTATGTGAGCACATCCTTGATGACAAGTGGCCAGTGACCCCAAGGCTTATCAAGTTGAGCTGGGAAACAAGAACGGGCTGCTACTTACCTGTGGCTGTCATATCTGAGTGCCACCAGCTGCAGAGGTTAAATTCCACCAGAAACCTGAACAGGTAATGCAAAAACCCAGTGTTACTCGGTCATCTGCCCCAGACAGAACGGTGGCATTGCTCCCCTCATTTGAAAGAGGAACGTCATTACCCGAAGCTATCAGTAATGGTTGGTTCTGTTACTACCGAGTTTTCACTGGGCTTTCTCTTCCTTGGGAAAGGCCATTTTATCACCAATGCTGGCCCAACACTGAAAGCGGGTTTACCTAGACTTAATAACTCGTTGAGAAATATCCCGCTTGTAGGCAGAAATAGTTTTCCAGTTATAGTGTGAGTCTATAGTAAAAAATCAACTCCGAAGGGCTTCCTCTGCCTTGGTGCAGAAATACAAATAGCATATTCTCTACCGATACTATGATCTGCCATAATAAAGGAAGCTTTCAAAATTTATACTGCAATGCAAACTTGTTCAGCCCTGTGTATGTGTATGTGTGTGTATGTGTGTGTGTGTGTGTGTGTGTGTTTGAGTGTGTGTAGGCATAAATGGAACAAACTTCTCTTTATGAAATTACACCACAACTTCAGAAAAAAAAATCAAAATCTCTCAACTGCTAGTACAAAGAAATGCAAAAGTAATATAAACCATCCTCCAAGTGAATAGAGATAGATCAAAATTCCATCATTTCTTTTTCAGGCTCATGGCTACTACCTACAGCAACTCACAGTCCATCAAAATCTCACTATTCTCTGTTACTGTTGTTCTCTGCCTCTTAGATACATAACAGAAGTGAATTTGAATTTGTAATGTTGTTAAATTAATATGGGCTACAATAAAGCGATAAAGACAATGGCTGTTCATCAAATGGTAAGAAATCTGCCTCCAATCCTCAGAAAGTGGAGCCTTAATGGGGAAAATAAGAATCTGAGGGTCGGATACAGCTTGAACAATCTGGTTTCCATGCTCATCCATGGAATTCTTCCCTTTTCTGGGACACAGTGCTTCTGTCATGTGTCCAATACCTCTTCTGGGAGTCACGGCTTTCATCTTTGAGCCATTTCAATCTGACCTAAGTCACAGATGCATCCAGCATCCTCCAAATCGGAACACAGTTTGGCAGGGTAAACAATTAATTCACACCTGAGCAAAGCCCCCACCCCCTGGATCATGACTGCACAAAACCCCTGTCCGGGACAAGCCCCCCCTCTTCTGCACATGCCAGCACATCCAAAGGAGCACAGTGGACAGCCCCAGCAATTTGTTCTTCTGACCACAGCCCACCCAGGCTGCATTAAAAACAGCCAGACATCTATGTTAAATTTAACACTAACCACAATAAATAAATTTGGTTTGTATATTACAAGCTGTTAGTCTGCTAAACAATGACATAAGGGCATAAGCAGTGACCATGAATAACTTAAAGATAATTTTTTGGTCTCAGCTTTCAATACTTGGAGATATTCAATGAGGTTATCTCAGAGTATTCTGAATCCAATGCTAGTTGAAAACACGGAACAGTCTTCCACTTCGCTTTATAATACAAAAGACAAGCAATATTACTTTTAAAAATGCAGCAAGTTATACTTACAAGACAAGTTCTGTCATTATCCATTTTACTGCAGCAAGGAAGGCATGATAAGGCTGAAGAGAAGAATTCAGTACATTGAAAACAATGCATCACATATGAAATGTGTAGTTTAACTTAAGGCTTTACATAAAGACAATGTTATTCTTCTAGAGAGATTGATATCATGTTAAAAAACAGTGAAGCTCTAGCTAAAAGAAGAAAATGGTTGGATACTGTATCCTAAAACTAACATTTTAAAACTTTGAACTCCCCTGTAGTGAGATGTGATTTACAAGTAAAATAAACATGATCTAATATAGGGGTTATCTCTGGGAGGAAAAAGGAAGTTCAGCAAATGATGTTTAAACCTTTACCCTCCAGGGGCTAATATTTTGCAGCCTGATGCTGAGGGGCTCAAGTCATATAACTAATTTCAAATGGTAATTCACAGATCTGTCTCTCAGAAAGGTGATTCCCTGTTCCCCATCAGTGGATGTCATTCACTGAAACCAGCAAAAGTTGCATATACTTCATTTTAATGTTGCCCATGAGTTATGTAGGGTTTAAGCTGCCTTTTCTCACACATACATATTTGGACTTGAAAAAAAATGACAACCATATAAACATGTGATTTTATCCTTGCCGAAAATCCCCTGCAACTCTCTAAAGGACAGCAACGACAGCCCAATCTTTATTTGAGAGTATTTTAATTTAAACAAGCAGTTGTATTGTTTACTCTGTGATATTTTCTATGTGGATAATTCAATTTCCTGAATTCTGGAAAATACCAGGCCCCCGTCTCAGTTGGTTCTCTGAATCTACATGTGCCAGATATTTGATTAGTGGGTGCACTTTGAGAGGCAATGACACTGGCAAAGCCCTTGCCCCAGAGGGCAGGTCCAGAGAAATCTCGGAACCTTTAGTGGTTGCGTTCAGGTGTCAGAGAATTGAAATGACAAATCCTGCTTTCTGAAGCTATGGCTGTTTAATCCTACCCTCTGAGCATTTGGACAGTAAAGACTGCAACTAGGAATGGGGGAATTATCCAGCTTTAAGTGAAACAAAAACCGACTTGCGTACCTCTATCCATTTTTTTGAAACTTCCCTATTTCTTTTTTTTTTAAATTTTTTTCAACGTTTTTTATTTATTTTTGGGACAGAGAGAGACACAGCATGAACGGGGGAGGGGCAGAGAGAGAGGGAGACACAGAATCGGAAACAGGCTCCAGGCTCCGAGCCATCAGCCCAGAGCCCGACACGGGGCTCGAACTCACGGACCGCGAGATCGTGACCTGGCTGAAGTCGGACGCTTAACCGACTGCGCCACCCAGGCGCCCCGAAACTTCCCTATTTCAAGCCAGTAAGTAAATGAACAAAACAACAGTAATGACAGTCTACTGGGTTATTCTCAGCCCACAGGGATTTCAGACTGGATCTCTTGCTCTGATTTAATTGAGCATGTCAACATCACTCGGTGAATCACAGGGCTCTCAGGATTAGGGTCAGATAAGGATGTAAACTATTAACTATTTCCTAAAACTAAATGCAACTTGCTGTCCTATGGCTTTGTTATATTTCTTATTGCTTGAAAAACAACCATCTTTTTTCAAAAAGACCCTGGTGGTCAGGCCCTGGGATAGTTCTGTGCCTTTGTACCTGCTGGGATGGGTAGTGACATTTCTGCAGTCCTTGGGTCCCTGGGAGGAGGGACTGAATAGAGGGATTAGGGAGGCTCTGGAGATGGGGGAGGGGGTGACAGACGCTCCCCAGGCCAGGGAAGAGCACTCAAGCATTCGGTGCCAGACGCTGGCTCTATGTATGGGCACACAAAGGGATTATGTAAATACAGGATTAAAAATTTAAATGGCACATTATCATTCAGAAGGGTAAAGCCATTGAGCTTTTAAGCCTAATGATGAAAACATATCTTGGGAACATTTTAGGTCTAGAAATAGTCCTGCTAAAGCTAGCGAAGTTGGATTTGGAAAGACATGTTGATTCTCACTAAAAAGTGGCATTTTTTCAAAGCATTCAACTTTCAGTTCATAGTTGCCTCTCAGAAATTTTCCAGCTCCAAATTATTTCTTACTCCCTCAGTGTAGGAGAACCGTGTTAAATACTGGGCTTTTAAATAATCCCCTTGCAAGATCTTACAGCTGCAAATGAGAAGGTGTGTGTTTATATCCTAAAAACCAAAATGGCTCATAAATTTTGTGTTTCAAACCAGATTTTAGGTTAATTTTTGGAATTTACAAAATGACAACATGTGAAGCTTCTATTTATACACATAGGTCGGGTTATATTGAAGTATCCTGTAACTGTTTTTTTTTTTTTTTTCCCGTGTTTTCAGGTGATGGGTGGCCAAACTTACATTGCTTGTACATCGTAAATTATATTTTCTAACTGGGAGCAAATTATAACGGTTAATTTCTGGCAGTGTGAAAGCCTGCTTCTAGGGATACAACAGCTATATTGATTGGTTCTCAACTGTGACACCACTGATGGAACCAGCTCCAGCAAAAGTGACAAGGAAGCACACCAGCATCCTGATTAAGGTAGAGGATCTATGATCGGAATGTGAATTTATCCACAGGCTCCTCCTAGGTCTCTTCCAGACCAAAGGGAAGATTTCTGCTAAACCAAACTAAATTCTCTTTCATATGGGAGAGAATCCACAAATCTTCTCCTCTTTACTAGCCATCAAAAGGGGGTTGCTGCATTCATTCATCAGTGACTTCAGACCTGCTTGTCATTCATATAATCAATGGGTTTGGGTTTGAATGGAAGTGGTTCTTCTTCACCAGTAAAATCAGGAAGCACTTTAAAACATTCATGGTTTTGCAAAAAGATGAACTTGATTACTCCAAAGATAAAGACCTGCTCGCACACAGAGACAGATACAAACGTGCCACTGTTTTGTGGGTGACCACACTGTACTTACATCCAGTAGCCCGCTGGCACTGTCACTGCTGTCCTTGTTGGCCCTGCACATGGCTTGATAGTCATACAGGGTAATTCTGTAGGAGAGAACAGAAAGGAGGGTCACTAAATGGAAAGCTATGTGTGAACCAGCGCGGTGAACTCACCACACCACCATCAAGTGCAGCAGTGACAAACACAAATAAATACAGGCCTGAAACAGATGACAAATCAGGAACATGCAAAGTCTAGGACTGGAGACACGGGCACATCACACTTGGAACTTGAAGAGGAAGGGAGTAAAGGTACTGGGGTTGAGGGGAGGAGACAGGGATGAGATGAAACAGTCATTTTGGTTTAAACAAGCTTGATCTGCTTGGACTAGGATACTCCAGAGGGACGATGCTGTTCTCAACTGGATTCTGGGCCCTGAAGGGAACCCACTTGGGCCATGTGTCCAGGATTGAGGAAGGCTGGGAAGGACCACTTTGAGTTCAGAATTGGCAGGATCCTCTGACTCTCTTAAGCACTAGGAAACATCCCTGGACCAAGATGAGCACAGCACTTTGACAGCTAGTTGGAAACTAGTTGGCTCCTTGGTTGTAATCCCCACCACTCTCCACTGCCACCACTATACCAGTGACTGTATTTTTGCTTTGGAAACAGTGCCATTTATGAAACAAGAAAATGGATTTTTTTTGTTCAATTGGTGATGAAAGGACAGCTCTCATTCCCAGTTATGACCTTAACTCAACTGCCAAGATATTTCACTCTATAATTGTTCCAGACATTTTAATTCCTCATCAATAACTTTACAAAGAAAGGAGAATGGCACTTTCTGGTAGCAAGTTAAAGGTTCTAGATGGAGCAAACACCTTATCCCACAGGCGACAAGCCTTCTCTCCTCCTACCAGCTCTCCTTCCCACTACTCTGGTATCCCAAAAAAGAGACACTTAAGGTCCAGCCTGAATTACGTAACAGCTGCCAGGTGACATGTTAACACTGCAATACAGGAACTTCTAAATGGCTGCAAGGGATGCTCCCTGCAGGAATTCCTTTCTAGAATAATACAATGCTAACCATGGAGCGTACTTAATGCTAGGCTGGGGACGGGCCCTAGAATAGAAGTTTCATGCAGCAGGACTGTTGCTGGCGCAGGGCACTAGCCCAGCACCCAGCATGGAGAAGGCATTCACTTTCAAAAGGGCGAATGCATGAATGATTGTCTGATTGCATGAATCTTGAAGAGATGCCATCACAACTAGATAGAAGAGGTCAAGTTCAAACTAAGAGGAAAAAGCTTCCTCCTCTAGACAATAAGCTGGAAGCATCACACAGACAGATTAACAAAGAACCATCTACGGACACCAAGTAGAAGACCGGCCATGTGCGATCAAATCAATATGGAAACCAGCTCCTGACCAGCATCACATAGGTGTCTTGGGTAGCAGAGTCCAAGAGGGCACCAGTGGTCAACACAATCTCCCAGCAATCTCCCCAAAGCCTCTCCCTCATCAAAACATTTCTTGCAGTCTTGCTCACTGTCCTCTGGCTATTTTCTTTACAGCAGATGCCAGAAGAACCTGTGTTTATTGAGACAGGAATAAAGCCCATGAACCAGCCAAGCACCTGGCTCAGGGAAGTCCCCAAACAACCCTGATGCTGCCCCAGCCACAGAATCACCTGCAGACCACAATGGACGACTGCATTCAGTCCCTGACTGCCCCACTATGCCACAGTCCACACCTCATCTGCAGGATTTCTGCAGGTGTCCCTGAAAGGGCTTTCTAGGACTTGGCAAGAATTATCATTGGC